TTTGATTGGTCCGTGAACCAGAGCCGACCACTGCTGAAGTAACACTGTTTCAAAAACACTATTTCATATAACACACGACTTTATTTCATAAGTAGACATTCATCGTACCTTCAATTTCGTTTATTTAATTTTCATCACCGATCTGTCTTTTTACAATCTCGAATTTTAGTACAGCTGCTATTTATATTTCAATGAAAGGCTTAAATCTCAATATTTATATTAAAAAATTTACAAAATTGAAAACTTAATGGTGGATTGTGGTACTTAATGTAATTGCCACTGACTGAATTGAAATTTAATTGTTAAAAAATTGAAAATTTAATGATGGATTGTGGTAACTAATGTAATTGCCACTGACTGAATTGAAATGTACTAGTTCCATTAAAATGTAGTGTCCAACTAAAAAATCGAATTTTAGAATTAAAAACAGAAGATAAAATTCAATTTTCGTCTTTAATCTCTGTATGCGCAATAGTCAAATTTCACGTCCTGTTTAACTTTTAACGATAAATTTTAAAATCAAAGTTCAACAATCTAAATCAATGTTAGTTCCTCTTGGACGAATATAAATTGAATATAAATATCAAATTTGTAATATGAAATGCTTTATTTAATTCGCTTAATTTTAAAATCAATAAGTGTAAGTTATTTCATTAACCGAATAAACTGATACCTACTTCGCCTAGCATTTCTGTTCGTTTCAAAGAAAATTGCAAATTCATAATAAAGTAAGTTCAGACAAGTCGTTTATTTCTGATTATTACTTTTGTGTCATTTTATTCAGGTTTACAATGTGAAACGAACGCGTTGCTGCGAAAAGAATGAAGTAATTTTGATGTCCCGACGTTCAAAGATTTTCTGTGATTTCCCTTTCTTTGTTGTTGAAAGGTGAACGACACTCTAATTAGGTTTAGCTTCTCGAGATTTCAAAAGGGTTGCACGACTTCTCTCGTGATATAATGCAACGAACCCACTGGGCTCAGACAGTATTGATTTACCCACCGTGGGTAGAATAAAAGAGCAGAGTTGTATTACTAACTATTTCAGCGGCCATTTCATATTATACAGTAAATTATTTGCCGTCTACTATTACATGGCAATTATTCCATTGCATTGAATACGTTCTATTAAATAACGATACAATTGAATTAAATGGATTCAGTTATTTGATACCATCAAGGTAAAGATCGGTAGATATTCATGAATATTTTAATAGATGAAAACTAAATATGAATATTACATTGGTGAAAAATAAATGATCCTTTGACGAAGTGAAGGTTAGTCTTGCCCATACTGTAAACACAAAATATGTACAATTTGTTCGGTTATTTTTATGAGATGATGAACACTAAACTTTGTACAATTGAAAGCATATCTAATGGATAGCATTTCAACCCATATATCTCAACTACATACAATTATAAAATTAGAGGTATGATTTGCGATCAGCCACTTATTTCCGAGTAATTTCATAATTGTTATTTCTTATGTTTTACCATCTCTTTGATATTTTCTAACCCTTTACGTTTGACATTATTTTGTATAACTCCCACTAGTGTCTATTTTAATATACTGCAGAGTAAAGATAACACAAATTGTTTTACATGCATAGCTAATTAAAATAATTAATATAAAACAAGAATAATTTTCTAAGTACCCATTGTGGATACTTTCTAAATTCTCCATGATTATTTACAATTAACTTGTTACTTTACGTGACTGTGATATTATATAAAAACTTCGCTAAAAAAGCACCTTAAGAGTAGAGGCTATATTGTATCTTCATTAAAGTAAAGCATTTATTTATACTTATTCACCTATTAAACATTAATGCACGCTAATGCATTACTTGAAATATATAAAGCAAGATTGAAAGCCATATGCTAAATGCTTGTTAATTCTGTCCCCACTTGGGTGTGCCATTTTTTAAATATTTATTTATTACCATATCAATTAAATCATTTTCCTTATTCTCATTCTTCCTCAAAAGGTTAGTATCGATGACAATGATCAGTTAGATTACACTTGTAAGTAGTTTTGTTTCTTTTAGGAATTGAGACAGTAACTGTATTTTTAAATCGTTCAAGAAGTTCTCTTCAAGAAGTTGTAGCTTCCGTTCTGTTCTTGTGGTAATATCGAATATTTACTGCAACGTACAATACATTTGAGTGGTTGACACTTATTTTTACGTTACATTTGTTACAAATTAGAGGACCATTTTTCCAGAGAAAACGGACATGTGTTATCTTTGCTTGTCCAATTTTGATTATTTTGCGAAATGTTCATTTTAAACAATCGAGATTCTTTTCCCTTCGCAATAATTAGACTGTGAATTTTATACATTATAGAAAACTCGGTTGTCTAAAATGTAGTGTGGAAAAAATGTTTTACCTTCTGTTGTGACACTGTGTCAAATTGATACAAAATTTGCTTTTGAAGTAAAATATCTTTGAGGCATCACTGAACATGGTACTACTAGCGCCGTATACATAGTAGTAATTTCAGATATGCAAAAGGAACTTGTTTCAGAATTTTATTTTTCTTCTCAAGAATGTTTTGAAACATGAAACTTTCAGTGTTAATTTTTAATGATAAAGATATAATCTACAATGTTCAAATTTCATCTCAGAAGTTTTTGCGGCTTAATTTAACAAATAGTTTTTAAACAACAGTTTGAAAAAAAAGGTGTGACATAGGAGGGTTAATAAAGTCCAATCTGGTTGTTATTTTATTTCGAACTCCGAAGAATCCCTAACAGAGTTTATAATTATCTATTTAATTCCAGTTTCCATAAATAATCTATAAAAATCGAAGAATCAATAAAACAAAAAATATTCCACACGAAAAGAAATAGTTTTTATATTTACCTATTAGAAGTTGAATTTACTCGAGGGAACTGTTTTTTTTTTTAAGTGGATGTATCGAATACGCCTATGGATTTTTCGACGCAGCACTAAATCAAAGGGTCGACTTGAGAAATTACATAAACAATACACGCGTGGGTGGGGACACGAGCGTGTTTCACGGCTGGCGGACCTGTTCGCGCTCATCGTCAGTTAGTTCTCGCGATTCATGGACCCTAGAGGCCATGCCGGTGATTCGAGGCCCGTTGACATTTCATTCGAAACTCGCAAGTGGATGTCACGCGAACGTACCGCGATTTTCGATGGTTTCCGTGCATATCAGGTCCGTTTCGAATAATTCTCCATTGTTCAGTTATTTGTGAAAGATTTCGAAATATTTTATTAAGGGGTAATTCTAATCAAAAGTGTCATTCTTCCGGCTTTTTGGACTCTTTTTACAAAGAAACCATAAGATTTGTTGATATCGGTTTGTTGCATACATATTCAATTTTGTTTCTAAAAATATTGACCATCTTTATTGAGTGAAAATAATCATAATTGACTGAATTATAAATCGTTTAATGCAGTCCTTTAAAAAAAAGTGTTCTACTGGTTGACACCAAAAAGCCAAACAGATTCTTGATTAGCATAAGTGTGACTGTGGCGTGAACCAGTATGAAAAAAAATATAGAAAATGTAAAAAATGGCGGCGGCGTTTTGAGGTTTAAATATCGATTTTCTTGATTTTTTCGCGATTTACGGATTAAAGAAGCTAGGAAAGAAAATAATTTGTTGATAATGCTGGTTTATAAGTTAACGGCACACCTACGGAAATGTACACCAAATGTGAAGTCAATCAGTCAATTAGAACCTTAAGATATTGTATCAGCCATTTAAAAAAATACCATTTAGAAAAAAACGTGTTTTAGGCTTTGTAGGTTTTTCTTTAAAGCATCTATAACTTCGTTAATTTTACAAATACGAGTAAATTCTTCTGCAGACATATAGCAACCTATAGTATCATGAAATGCAACAAAAATTAATCAATTTTTTGGAAGGTCAAGACTAAAATACTACCTTAAAAATAATTTACAGCAATGTTTAGATCGTGCGTATTCCATTACCTACGCAACTATTTTCAAGCAGTTATGAGATCATTTGGATGCAAAACGGTTGCAGAAACTATTCTTTTTCATTTATAATAATGTTAGAGTCCTACTATTTCTTTCTTTGTAAAACTGAGTCGAATACTTTGTGGTGAATTCAATTGTTAGATCGTATGTTTATGATGTCTATACTATAAACATTATGCATTTATAAGTGTATGAAAAATGCAGTGAAAAAAAATTAATAAAATCACTGTTCTATTTGTGGCTTACGGAAACTGGAAACAATGGAAATATATTTTAATGTGGTTTCCATTTTTGCAGTCATACATACTGAACTTTCGATTATAATTTTTTGTAATTCCTTTTGTCCAGTTATAAACGAAGTAACGTGTATAGTGCTAGATTAATATATTTTAGTTATTACTTTTTTTCTTCGTTTATCATGTCATACTTATTGATCTTGAAGTATTTATTCCGTATAAACAATTAATATAAAATTAACATGAATGAATTCATTAAATTATTATTTGATCATTTTAAAATTAGTTGTCATCTAATAAAATAGTTAATTTGAATAATCAAGGAAAGATAATTTTATTCAACTGTCAGGTTTGATGTAATGTTAATTTTAGTATTAATTTCAAGTGTTAAGCACGTTCAATATAAGATTTCTATGATTGTTGAAAATCTTACGACCTTCAGTTTCATATAGCAATTCAATGAATTCCCCTTTAAAATATCGTAATTTTATGTTTTCAATTTTAGAGTTCTATACTATACGTACGAATAATTTATTTTCAAATACGTTCATAGATACATATTTTTAATCCTACGACTTCGTTTTGTCGTATTCCCATAATTTTACGTCTTATACGATCATTATTCTAATTCTAACTATTCTTATTGTATTTGGCATTACTAGTGAAAATTAATAAACCTGGTCTGATTTTTCGTACGTTGTTAATAGCAAATAATTAAATTATGTTATTGAATGTTAACAAAACTATAATAAATTTTTTTATATTTACAGATGACGCAAAATCTGGTCACAGCTACGTAAACCAAAACGGTGGTCCGAAGAGTTCCTCGATCGAGCAACGAGACGAAACTAAAACAAGTAAGAATAATCGTTGCCACTTGTTTCACATGGTACTCAACACCTTGGAATGCTGTATTAAGTCATGCTTGTCGCACGAACGCAAAGAAACACGCTTCTTCTCTCTTCCACCATTTCTCGCGTGCATTTTCCGTTTTTCGCTTCGAAAATCGATCGAGACTAAGGTCCTCTATTAAATAAAAAAAAGAAAAAAAAAGAAACTAACGTTTCTCGTAATCGGCGTTATACTTCAAGAAACTAATATAACTAGAAAATATTAATACGATACCGGTAGAAACAGGTTTTAGAAGAAATTGTCTGAGGAATTTTCGGAAGAATTAAAATAACCCAAGTTAGATCGGATTAGAACAAAATTAGATTTCTTCGTCTTTTTATCCCAAATTAGTTTATTACTACGCCAGGTGTCCCAAAAATAAACTAAAAAATTCTGTGTGAATAAATTCAAGTGAACATACAATGAGGGATAAAAGTATTCGAACGAATAATAATTTCTTGATCGATGGTGGAATCTATACAGAGTGGCTTGTAAAACTACAGAAACAGTCTACAAAGTAATTCTAGACACTAATTATAAAAGAGGTATAAGATAGTTGTTTATAGTCCGTGAATTGTAATATTGTAATAAAAATTTATCGTGTAAACTACATACGATAATAACGTTTATGATTCACGAAAAAGATAAAAAAATTAATTCGAATTTATTGAAATGTAAAAACTGTTTTTCATACAGTTGAATGCGAAAACTTGCTGTCAAATGTATTTTTACGTATTTATGAAACATCCGGTATATATGCAACGGTACGTTACGTAGAAAACTTGGTAGTAAAAAATACACGGTAGCACAACTGGACTACATATGATTATTAGCATAAAAGTAACTTCCTTGGTTCAAATGTACTCCTACAATTGCGTCAAGTTTATCAGTTTGACGTTTATCACGATCAATAGCTTTCATTCTACTGTCAGGAACCTCTTGCACAGTAATTTGCAAACTACTACCATAAGTGAATTTACATGATATAAGTTGTAATTTCTAGACTTCTGTTGTACAAACAATTTTTACAAATTAAATAATTAGTAAACATTATTAGGAAATTTTAGAAATGATTATTGCACAATGAATGCAATTTTACATTTACTTTTACAATTTTTACAAGTCTTGGAAGCCTGATAATTTCGTTTACAGGTTAATGTTTCTAACTATTGATTACTGAATTCTTATTTATTCTTTTAATTTGAAATATTTTAGACATGGTTGATAATTTTCTTATTTCATTATTTATTGCTGAATTGTCCAAATAGTAAGCATTTGTTTTCAATGCACACCCACTGTTAATAAAAGAAAACACACTATATTAAATCAGTAATTCCCTTCTATCAACGTGCACACGATTTCATAACATGAAATTAGACAATAAGCTGACTTGTAATTTATAAAATTTACTTATAGAATTTTACTTGTTTTATGAACAAATTTGTTATTACTACTGTGCGACAGAATTTTTTAGTAGTGGTAACTCGTGGCTTGTAAAATTTCACTAATAATAGTAGCTCTATTGTGCAAGCGGGAACAGGCGATTATAAATCTCAAAAACTGTTTACGGGAAATAGTACAGCAGACATTTGTTCCCAGTAGTCTCCGTACGAATACTTTTTTCTCTCATTGTACCACAAACCCCGAGTAAATTCGAGCGTAATCACGGATCACTTTAAAAACGATGCCCGTCCCGGGATTCCATAGGATTTCACGAATCCTCGGAGTACGCGACAGACACAGAAGAGATTAGCATGCCACAGGGTTCGCGGAACCGCAGGAATCGTAGGGGGCGCAACAGAAGACGGTTCCAGCGTGCCGAGAGAACGCCGAAAGAGGACGATGAACACCCGGAAAACGCGGAAATTCGCGAGGATCCGGCAACGAACGAGTCACTAGAGAAAACGATCGAAACCGAACCCGACGATGATCAAACGATACGTGCCAAAGAAGCAGCGGTGAAACGACTGAAAGAGGAGAGGCAACGAATCGAGAAACGGAATTTGAACTCCGAAGTGAGGGTTATCGAGGTGAAGACGATCAGTAGCCTACCGCTGGCTGCGAAGATCGATCACATTCCGGGAGTGGGTATTTTGGAGATCGGTAGAAAGGACAGTGTGGAAGGTGTGGTGACGATTTCCGAGCCAGCGGAATTGTTTTCGTCGATGAAAAGAACGGTCGAAGGCTTGAAGATCCACGATGTCAGCGACTGCGACGTGGAGGCTGACAGTGTTCGACCGGTGATCGTGGAAATGGAGACGGATTTGGAAGACTCGATGCGCGTCTGGGACACCGTGATGCCGAAGGAGGTGGAGGGGAAGCTGAGGAGCTTCATCGAAGGCCTGAAACTGCCCCCTTATTGCGAGGAGGAGACATGCAGGCAGGAAAGAGTTAGCTCGACGTGCAAGAAGGTTAGGAAACGCGGGAATCACGAACACTGTCAGGCGAACAGGTTCCTAGACATCATACAGGAAGAGGGTGAGAAACTGTCTGAAGACGAGGAGCAGCATATTAGAGACTTCATTAATGAAGAGATCAGCAAATATCGGAGGGAGGAACGACCGTCTAATGGGAGGCGGAGGAATTCGGGGGATAAGGAGCTGGCAACGAAAGACGGGACCGATAGTCAGTATGCAATGGAGGAAGACGAAGAATCGGATGGGAAAATTATGAGAAGTGAGTTTAACAGCGATGAAAGACAAGAAAATTTAGAAAAAGCTCGTCAAATATACGAAGAGTCCGGAATAGAAGTATTAAAATTCAGGAACACCGTTGCTGAAACGTTGAAACATGAAGTGACATTGAATAGCATGGAAGAAAACTTTAATAAAGTGTTAATGTTCCAAGAAGAGAATAAACTGAAGCCTGAAATGAAATGGACGGAGAATTCAATAAAGATAACTGTTATTGATGTGGATGCTGTAGAATTAACGGAAGATATGCCGGAAGTATCAGAGGCAGCTGATGAAACGACAGAAGATTCAGGGATAGAAATATTGAAATGCATGAAGCCCGACGACGAAACATTAGAAAGCGAAGAGATGGAACTGAGCAACTCTGCAAAAAATATTAATGAGTTATTGGAATTGAAAGAAGAGAAAGCGACGCCTGAAGAGGAGAAGAAGGAACATGTTATAAAATGCAATGTGCTTAATGTGAACGATGCAGAATCAGTTAAAGAGATGACGGAAAAATCACAGGCTATCGACGAAACAGAAGAAGATTTAGAGGGGGGAGTATTAACATTTATGGAACCCGACGATGAAACATTAGAAAACGAAGAAATGGAAATAAATAGCACTGAGAGAAATTCCAACGAACAATTAGAACTTAAAGAAGATAAAGAATTGAGGGCAGAAGTGAAAAGAGAGGACAATATTTTAGAAATAAATGTAACTGGCGTAGAAAATGCTGAATCGACTGACAAAGTGGCCGAACTTCAGCGCGAAAGCACAGAATCGCAGTTAATTAACGAAGTAACAGAAGAATCAGAGACAAAGACATTAAAATTCAAGGAAGTTGATGATCCTAAATCAGGCCGAGGAAGTTTAAAAATGATTGATGAGAAACTAAATGAGACAGTAAAAGATGAAGAACTGAAAGTGAACATTAAAGACGTAAATTTAGACAAACGATTGGAATTAAAAGACGAGGAAGAATTAAAGCCCGAAGTGAAGAACGAGGTTCACATTGAAGATACAAATGCTACTTATAACGAAATAGCAGAATCAACCGATAAAATGACGGAGTCTCGGCTTGAAATCGAAAAAATGGAGACAATATCACAGTTAGATGTCGAAATCAAAGAAGACGTAGACACAGAAACATTAGAAATGAAGAAAGCTGATGAAGCATCCACTAAAGATATTGTATTGAAAGATGAGTCTTCATTGAATTCTGAAAGTGAAGCAAATGTTAACGAAGAATTAGAACTAAAACAGAAGGAAAACAAAACAGTTTGTGTAAATGCCATCGTACCAGTTGAACAAGTAACATCACAGTTAAAAATTGAAGAGAGAAAGGATTTGAACAACGATCCAAATATTTCCAATACACAATTAAAGGAGTTGAAAGTAGAGCAGACAGAAGAAATCAAAGAGTCGCTCTTATTGAAACCATCAAAAAGCGATACTAAGGAAAACCTGTTAGAAAGTCCATCACTAGAAACTGAGATTATTACTGTAAAGGGCAACGAATCCAGTCTAGAAGACGAAATACACACGAAGTCTGAGTTAGAAATAAACAATGTGGCAGTGACGAAGGAACGGCGACCTCCAACGCCGCCAAAGAGGTCGTCTAGTCTGTCAGACGTTGATTTACAAGAAAAATCTCGAGACCCTCCGGTCCCTCCAGCCAGAATAATTTCAACTGATCCTCCACCTAGTCGCCCGCCTCTGCCAGCAGAAAATTTGGCAATAGATAAGAATCCGAGCATCGTTAGACGTTTATTGACAATTATATCGAGCAGTGACGCGACCGTCGAGAATATTCGCGATGCTTTGAGGGAGGTGACGGCGTCGGCGCTACCCGAGAATCTCCGCGAGATCATCGATGATCTAAGGGCCCACGGGATCAGGAATTTCCAAAGTGACAGCATCGCTTCATTGCATAATCGTCTTGGCAATGGCGTGAGTCCTGAAATAACGTGTGACTGGTTGGCCGAAAAGTCGCGCGAAAAATGGGTGATACCCGAGTCGTCGACAGCACGTCGCGCTGAACGAACAACGATGGCCGAAAAATCGCCGAAGAATCTTCCAGAATATCTGAAAGTTACTGAAAACAAAGGCAACGAGGCAACTGCTTCGAAGGACAGCGAAGAAGAATTCGAAGAGATCTACAAATCGACCGAACAAGTGGACACGGAAAAGTTTGAACTCAGAGACTCTTCCAGCAGCGCGACTTCTCTGAGCACTGTGAAGTATAATCCTATGGAGGATTGGCAGGCTGACATTTGCTCTATAATAGCCGAAGAAGCTAGGAAAAGTAGAGAAAGGGACTTGGACTCTTCTAGTTTGAAAAGCAAACTTTCGTTACTGAAAGCTGAGGAATCAGATATGTTAAATGGAGAAAAAGTGTCCCCAGAACCCATACCCTATTCGCCTGTGGAGGATCTATACTACGTTCCCCTGGATTTTGGCAGTAGTTCAGTAAGAAATCAGTCGGAAAACATCGCCTGGCCCGAATCCCTGAAGGATCTCTGTATAAAACGAATCTTAATGATGCCCTATGGCTTGCAAATAATCAACGAGATAACAGTACCCAAGTTTAACATCTTTAAAAGCCTCCGCTCTATCCCGAGTGTGCACGAGACGGCTGTACTAACACCTGACGCTCGGAAAACCACTGTTTCAGAGCGGAGCAACCTAGGAACTATGAGCAAAGTCAGCGCAGAGAGTTGGCTGGGCCTGTCCACTTCAACGGACCCCCGGCTACTCGTCTGTTTGTCGCCGTCCCAGCAAAAGACCGCGATTAAAACTACTCCCGATAACTTGCTGAACCTTCACGCGAAGTTCCTGAACAGACACAGGTACCACGAGAACGCATCACCTTGCGTTGCAGTTCCGAAGTACAAGATCGATGTGAAAAAGTCTGAAACAGACAGACCGACCAGGCTGCTCGAGATTCTGAAAGAGAACTCGAGCCAGCCGAAAGTGACGCCCGAAGATCCGTCCAAGCGTTCAGGCGGTGACAAAGGTCAGCGTCTGAAGGTCACCCAGCTCCGTGACTGGTTGAACCTAGCTAGACGCGACATCTCCAGTCACGCGACGTCTCTCTCCAACGATTTATTAATAGAACCGTCGGGTGAGGGAGTACAGGCTGATAACCGTGATAGTAATCGGTCGAACGTCGCGAAAGTGACTAGTCTCGGCGTGAATTCGCCAGAAAAAAGCACAACGCCTTTCAGAAGGAGTCCCATCACTCTGAACAGCGCTCTGATCGAGAAAACTCCGGGCATGCCGGACACTGGAGGCAAGAAAACGCCTCGAAGGATCATAGAGCCCCGGCATGGTGTCAATCCAGCTCTAATAGACGACAGAGTCGAGGTGCCAGCGCCAGCGAAACGCGTGGTGAACGTGGACAGATCTTGCATCGACACAACCAGTATTTTCGACCAGAGCCCGGCCAGAAAGCATCTGGAGCCGCGAAAATATAAGAACGAAGAGGATCTGAAGCATGTGACTGCTACGGAGATCCTGGAGAGCCTGAAGAAACTTGAGACTGACGATCTCAGGAAGCCATATCTGCCGGGAGAGTATTTGGTGGAACGATTAAGGTACATCGAATTGCTGGAGAATCAACTGAAGAATGTTCTGTTGGCTGAAGAGGAAGAGAAAGAGGCGTTCGAGGATTTTCAGACACTGAAGAAGACGCAAGAGACAGGCGCCAGTACCTCTAAAAATGACGCCAAGGTTGAGAGTCAAAGCTGGAGCGAAAAGTCCTCGAACCTAGACAAAGATCATTCTGAGATGATCGACAAACACGGACAGAGGGATCTAAAGACGGAAGTCCGTCAAGGAGATGGTTTTCGCGAGGAGGAATCCACCGAGCATATCGAAAGTGTGGTGATCACCAAGAAAGAAGATAGAAACGGGCAGAAGTCGGATGATACTCGAAAGGGCGGGAAATTAGAGAACTCGGAGGCATTTCGTCAACGTATGTACGAGGAGTACGTGCACAAAGTTCTCGAGAGGGAGGAAAGGAAGCTTCACAAGGTGGTCAAGATCAGTACACACGAGGACATTCATAGGCCGGATGAGAAATTGGAAAAAAATGGCACAAACGTCGAGATGGAATTTATCACGAAGGCGAGAAACAGGCTGGACAAATTCGGAATTAAACTGGACGAGAGTGAATCGGAAGTTGAGAAAGATTCTGTGGGAAAAGAGGAAGTGAAGAAGAAGTGTCTGATCGATGGACGGGAATTCGACGACGCGAGAAAATTGCCGAAGCATCTTCAAGAATTCCTGAAAATGCCCGACGACGGTGAGTCCCAGCGAACCGAGGATTGCTGTGTTGTTGGTCGTTGTTAAGATTGATCGCTGCCAATTTGGACCTTCCGTTTGAGTGTTCGAATGTTGAGGCTGACTGTGAACTTGAAGCGATCGCTACTTGGATAGGATTATTGAGTACGTAACAGCCACTAACAGGTACCATTAATAGATGTATCGTGAGTTGCGTTGTAGCACGTGATACTGACAATATTTTTTTTTGTGAATTTTACTTCCTTCCCACGGATTTCTACTAATTTTGTTACAATTACAAAAGAATGGGGGAACTGAGTGTTTTTTTTTCGCAACGAATTAAAGTGTTTTGGAATTTAATTCGAATTTGAAAATGTGATTTTGCCGTTAGAATGTAAATTAAAATTTAATTTTTGCAGAAAATAATATTCAAGTTTCAAAAATCTAATTCCAATGGGTAGCAAGGGAAAATTCGAATTTAAATTCTCTTTCCAACAATGAAAATCAGATTTTAAACAAGTTTCACGGATTATATTAAATTTTAATTTCACCGGTAAATTGAAAATTGAACGTAAATTTTATAGCAGCCGTTTTCTTCCAAAAATGCCGGTAATTCTCGTGTTTGTTGTTTAGAATTGTAACAAAATTTATACCGATTAATCGGATATATCGCGTGGAAAGTAATGTTTATGAGAATATATGGTGTGTGCTATATTTTTATCCCGGAATATAGATGTCTCGTGTTGTTGTTACTAACGAAACTGAATGAAGAAGACGAACCGTGATATGATTTATCGCCAATAAAGTCAAAACGTCGAGAGATGAGTCTTGTTAACTTGGTCGTAGATCATAGGTTATCTAGATAGGTGCGGCGGAAGAAAAATGGCTGCCTTATAACACAGAAATAGTTGTTCCCACGAGCTTTTAGTATCTTTTCATAACTTTTACTTAATTTTCTCACCTAAAAATTTATGATTTTGAAAGTCAACCAGTTCCACTTGTTAATAAAGTAGAAAAAAATCTAATTGTAATATTGAAAGGAATCTATTATAAAATATCCATAATAAAGTTCATATACATTGTAGTTTATCAATGAAATAGTATATACTTGAAGAAATGATAGATTTACGTTCTTCTTTTTATTATTATTTTACGTTTTTATTATATACTGTAGATTATACAACGAACATCAAATTATAATTGTTTAGAAGTATCTAAAGAACGAGATTCAGCGTAAGATCGCGCTGTTTTAAAACCTACTTCTGTTTTATACAAATTATGATACATTTGTTATAAATTTTATAACGGTGTGAAAAGTTTACTTCAGTTTATTTATTTATTTGAAAGCAGGACGGATATCCATTTACACGATTTATTTGTCTTCGATGTCGAATCACGTGAACGAATCACAGATCAGGTTGGTCGGTTGCAACCTGAGTTCATGATTCATTCGAAAATAAGGAGCTAAATATAGGGAGGATCGAGAAATAGGCCAGTGCTCGTAGAACCGTAGAACATTTGCTTACGTGTCCAGCTTCACACGCCGGAACCACCGTCTTCATTTTGGCTATTTCCGACCGGTTGCGACATCGCCAACATCCGCCATTTTAAACGGGTCTCCTTGCCTCCAAGACCTTCACCCTTTTCCAGTTTACCTACCTGTCGCACAAGATCCTGGCAAAAGTCATGGCTTTAGTAACAACACAAACTACTAACCGGTTTCGTACTGTTCCGTAACAATCAACAAACTCACTAACGCAAAACGAACGTCGTGGAATATTTCAGGCATTAACACGAAAATATGATTTTTTCTTACGTTATCATTTATATTTCTTATAAGTAGATATGAACTTTCAATACTGAAACTGTGATACATATTGAAAGAACAGTTACCTTCAGGATAATGGAAGATATAGGAATTGTAATTAAGTTAGGTAGACACAGGGAGCTCGTTTTTCTGAATTTTTTTTTTCAATTTTTCGGAACTCTCAGCTGCTGGATCGGTAAAAATAGAAAATTATTCACAGTTTAGACGAAGCTTTCTAGATACACAAGAGGGAGGAAGCGTAAATATTCCACGAGCCTTTTTCCTAACGCTTCTAAAGCATTACTAAATTGCACATTTAAAATAACACAGATTGAGCCTTATATGTATGTATGTATGTATTACGTATATGTGTATATAATTAATTATAATTATTATTTTCTATTTTTTTTCTATTCGGGATGTATTGGGCATGCTTTTGTAGTTGAGAGAGCTGGTTATGGCAATGAGACCGATCTACTGCACGAGATTGACAGTGCATTGAAGGTGGGCCGAGGATTTCTGTTTGGTAAAGGTGCGTTTAACTGGTGCATGCTTTTCTAAAAAAAATTAAGTTTTGAAGTTTAAATAATTGGTAAATATTAGGCATAAGAATAAATTTGAATAGCGTAATAAATAGATATGATTTATAAATAAATTTCACAAATTTTTTAAATCAGTTACGTCCTACTGTCTAATATACAAGCATGTATTTTTAATTACAAATTATGTGGAAAAATTGACAGAAATAGGCAAGATTGGTAACTAAAGAAAAAAGATTATTAAGTTGCTTTAACTTGAATTCAGTAAATATTACGCTGATTGCAGTAGTAAATGACAAATTGTCAAACAAACCGTTAGAAGAATTATTTGTTTAGATTTATTAATTATTATGAGTAATGTGGAAGACGTAATGATGAAGTATCATTAAGGGTTCATCAATGATAAATTTTAAAAGACTGAGATTTTACATATTTGATTTAATTTTATTACAAATAAGAATAAATAATGATAATTATATCTTAAAATATTAATATAAAATAGTGATACATCGATAAACTATTCATATTGTATTATTTGAAGTTAGCTTACCTTTAAATAATTATCTTTCATATTAAAATGAAAAATAGAAATATAGGTGCCGTTAGTTACGATGTACTCCTTTATATTTTACATTATTTTGTTATTACTAAGTGAAAAAAAATCGTATTGATTTCAAGATACAAAAGACGTTTCATTTATGTAATTTATTTACATGGTATTTTCATTGTCTTATACACTTACAGATGTTTCATTAACATCAATACACGCGCCGACACATTAACTTGATCATTATCCAAACCTACGTAAAAGAAGTCATAACTATTAATACGCAAAAAGTTTCATTTATCTAGTCGTATTGCAAAGTGTTTACGGAAGAAATTATTGATAGGAACATACAGGATTTCTCACTGTTGATATTCCATATACAGATAATAATACCTATTCCTTTACCATGAAAGCCCATGAAGAACGTAATATTGGTAATGCACAAAGTATTCTATGTATCTGACACACCTATAAATAGTCCGAACAACAAATTCTTTGTATTGCACTAATAGTGCGGAGTGCTCAGTTTTCCTAAACCATTGTGAAAGTACCTACATAATAACTTACATTTCATAATTTATATAACTAACTTCCATCACCAAATGAAGTATAAAATTTTCGATATGTAATATGCTAACACAACTGGTGAGGTGGAGTTTGAGGAACCCCATGAATATTTTATTTTTATTCACTAGCTACTTAAAGAGATACTTATTTATTTCAATGTTTTCTTCCATAAAAATGCAGAATAACACAAGTTTATACAACTGGTCGTATAATAAACAAAAAATAAGAAATAATTAAAATCTATGAAAGTAATAAAATATTTCCACTTTACCAGTTAGGAGCTAAAAGAAAATAAAATTTTCTTATATTTCTAAAAAAAATGGGTGACTCAAATTTTGATTGAGTGAAAAACGAGAGCCTGCGTGGGATCGCATCACAGGTTGGGAACTCACGCTGTGCAAATTTTTAAGCGTCACGAGACTATTCTGAATCGCCCGGCTTCTGCGTAGTTAAACGACGACGCGGAGTGTGTGGCGGTGTCGACGGCAGCGTCGCGACGCTTCTCAGTAGTCCGTCATCCTTGGAGCTTCCCTATTCCGCGCGAAACACGATCACGCATGCGAGCTTTTGCCGATCCGGAAAAAGAACCGAAGGCTAAGTCATGTTAGAGAAAAGTGAGTGTTTGACTGATACGAAAAAGTGCGAAGTGAAAAGAAACGAAACAAAAAAAATCAAAGACGAAAAGTGCAACGCGCATCTGTGGCCAGTTTGAGTTAATTTTAAATCAAACTGATTGTTCAAAACCAATTATGGACCGAAGTAAACAGAATAATTTTCCAATAGAATTTCTCCGGTATTTTTAATTGCAAGATCGAATTCACTAATAAGATGATAACCACAACAAATAATATTTTCGGTTTTGGATATTTTCTTGCCTTTTTTTCAAATCCCGAGAGAACAAAATTAGTTAAAGTAATTATGAGTGGTTCATGTAAACACTGTTTCATTTATCAAAGATTAATATAACTATTCTTCTAAACACGTAGAAATTAATTAATTAACAATTAACTTCCAATACTTTATCTGTTATTTTAGACGGAGTAATGAATTAAATCAAGTAGTTTTTTGAATGGTTTTTCATAGAACGCCACTATTTTTGTATTATTGTTATCACAAAATCAATAAACCAACAGACATTTTATTTCATTTCTAGTCATATTTGTTAGGTTCTGTTATACACTTTGCGTTTGATTTGCAAAATGGTGGAATGGGAAGATCGTGTTGCGTTCTGTAGTCTGCTCCAAACAAAATCTTGGAAAAACTGTTGGACATTTTTTATTAATTTACAAACTGCAATAAGCAAACCAAATGAATACAAAACATATAATAATACAAATTAAGGAAAATCAAATACCATGATAATTCAAATGAAATTGGACTAATAATCGATTTAATCCTTCCAAGAAAATTTATATATTCTAAACTAATTGTACTATATTTTTACACATTAAGCCACGTTTAAATTTAGAAATTATTAACGAAACTGGCCATTGAGCGACGCCCCGAGGATTCGTTCAACAGGTTGCCCCCGCTTGAAAGACGGCACAGGCAGGCGGCAAGTG